ATCAACACCATCATAGGCTACGTCCTTTAAGCTATCTAGGAACAGGGAGTTAAATTCAGAGCAAACACAGAGTGATATATCCACACACCTATACTTTCTGTCTGTTCAGTCATGGCAATCGCCGTGTCTGAACATCCAAATGCGTCTGACAAATTGCTCACAAGTAATCCCTAATTCCCATCCACAGTAATTGAAAAGCCATGTTACATAGAAAAAGATGTCAGGAAAGCAATTTTACAGGCAACAAACATAGAAATTAATTAAATTCTAGGCATAAACCAACTGCCCTGAATCACTAACTGCCCTGAATCACTAACTACCCTGATCTGACAACTCCATGAAACCAACTGCCCTGAATCACTAACTGCCCTGATCTGACAACTCCATGAACTATTTGAATTTGCCGACTCTTCTTTATAAAGCAGTTGAATTGTAGAAATTCAACTGTAACCTGATCAGCTCAGTCTCTGAACAACATAAGAGCTGTCAGAAGGAAACCTCTCAGTTCAGCTTGATTAATACTAGCTGGATTTAATGAAAATAATCAGATAAGATTGCTTTCAGATGGAATGTCTAGTTCCACAGTTGGATTGAGGAACACAGAAAAAGCATAAAAATAAACCCACTGAAAAAAAAACTAAATTGAGGTGCAAACCAAGGCTTAGACAACACACAGCACGGTGTATTCTCATCTTTGCCACACACGGTACCCACTGCTAGTCCCAGTCCAGATTCTGTCGAATGCAGACATGGAGCCATCTGCTTTCAACAAGTGAGGCCTTGAAAAGGTGAGAATTTCTCTCTTGATTAGGGGAATGTGCAAGAACTCTATGAAATACATTTATATTCAAATCCCATCTTTTTGAATCAATAGCAGGATCTCCTCAACTCAGTTGTTCTACTTGGTTGGAGATCACAGCCCTGCTGCTTTTGAACAGCCTCTGCTTCTTCACCTAGTTTATGCTTCTACACAAAATCTTTATCTCTTTTAAAGCTTCAGTTATTAACAGCTTTAGTTTTTCATTTTTGGACTGAAATTTTCAAAAGACACTTAGAGGTTTACTTTTGTTACCAGAAACCAGTGAGACGCTTCATATTCTGTTATCCTGAAATCTAAATAATTTCCCTATAGCAAACGCCACAGTGACCATTAACTAGTATTTTCCAGGTAAAACCCAAATGATGGTATTTATAGTAGTGCAGTGGTATGAATGCAACATATGACGTGTCCATTCACCCTCCCAGTTCTTACAGTATACAACAGTAAAGAAAACAATAATTTGTGATGTATTATCCCATTCCAGGTTTAATTAATTTCCTTATTTACTAAATTATCTTCAACTGAACTCTAGTGCTGAGAGTAAATCAGATTCTACTGTATGATATGTGAAAGGTAATATTAAAAAATCTCTTGCTAAAAATAAACTTCTTATGCTAGCAGTGAAAGATCAAAAGCATCTATGTAATTAAAAATTATTAAATTGAGAGTACATATGAAACAAACTCTGCATTGCGCTTTTAATTAAAAATATTACCCTGTAAATTAAAAATGAAGGCTTAAAAATAGTAATCAAGGTCAAAAGAATATTGGATAAAAGGATCTTTGTATAACTTTGAAATTTCTGAGTAAATTTGTGATTAAACACAGGAAGTTCTACTGGAAAGAAATGAAAAAGGGGAAAAGTGATTTAGACCAAGAAGCTGCTAAGTAGGTCTATTATTTTTGTAAGAGAATAAAAAGGCTCCACTTCATGTTAAGAGTTCTCTTCAGCATAGTGCTAATAGCTGTCTGTAAGAAATTACTTAATGGTGGGAAAGGTAGGGAATACCTTAGTCACAATACAATTGCCGAAGTTGCTCTGTCTCCCTGCAGAAAGCTGCCTCCTCACAATAGCAGAAGATGAGGAAAGAAAACAAAAAAACAAACAAACAAACAAAATATCCTCCCTGCCCTAAGTTCTCCTTTACTTAAAGTCAACAGCAAATTCTTTTTGTCTGTAAACCCAGCATTGGAGCTCACTACAACAGTGGTCTGTCTAAAGAGGTTGATAGACAAGGTATGTGATATTGTCACTGGGCAAACAGTTTCAGCGAGCTTTAGACTCTAGGAAATCAGAGGATTTATTTTCTGTGGACACCCAGAGAGCATAACTTGAAATATTGGTTGTTTGAGTATCAAAACCAAAATTAGGAAGCTTTGCTACCTGAGATGGCTGCCTGGGTGACAGCTCTGAAAGCCACTTGTACAGAGGCAACTGAAAAACTGCCCACATTACTCACACAGCACAGCTTCAAGGCCAGTTGTCCCCATGTATCTGATACTGCTTTTGGAGTGGGGAGGAGAAGTGAGGTCTCAGGAGATGGCTTTCCTACTGTGGCTGTGAACAGCTGAACGTTATGTTATGCCTTGCTACCGAGATCAGCTTGTCCGGCAAAGACACGACAAAGGAGACATGAAGTACCTGGTGGCTGGATTCCTCTGGGTTCTCCTAATGTCATCGTCCATAGATGCTGGGCAGGTGGTGATGCTGAGACAGGCAGGTTTTGCAGCACTGCTTCTAGACGGGTTGACTTTAGCAGCCAGTGCCTGTATTCTTTCACCTCTACCAGCAGATAAAACCTGCGTGTGTTGGAAGACACTGGGCTGACTGCATTAAAAATTAACCATTAGCATAACTGTAACTTCAATAACATATTGATGCATAAATTAAATACTGTAACTCCAAATGGCTCACATCTGACCATTTTAATAGCATTCCAGTGAAGGGTCACTTGTAAAACAAGAAGAAATAAATCCATACTCACAAACATTGTTTGAAATTGATAACTGGATTTCCTTCCCTACCCATTATGAAATGGCATCTGACATGTATTGTCCTTTTCGAGCAGTATTCTTGGTAGAAGTACTCACATTACCTGTGACTAACTAGCCAACAGAGGCAGTGCGGAACAGACTGGGACTCTTACAAAACTATGGCTAAAAAAACCCCCACGATTCTCAGCACGGAAATAGTATCAAAACCAAAATCATCATCTGTATGATTTTCCAAGCCATATGAAAAACATTTCAACTCAAATACGATCCATAATAATGTCTTTATTAAAGAGATTGCTTTATAAGAGGGCAAACGCTTCTCTGAAGGTTTTAACCTTTCACATGCCAAGAAGTCAGCATTAGTCCAAGATCATAAATTCACTTGTAAACTGGTAACTTTCTTACTTCACTGGCAATTCTTTCCAGAAATTTTCATCACATGTAGTGGAGAGCAGACGACATGTTATTTATGCTCAAGAATTTTACATGTGCACCATTTTCAGCCTTAACTTTTGAGAAACAGAGATAAATAACAATATTCACGTACCCTTTATTTGCTTTCAGTGTAACATTCAATGCTAATTGCATATGTAATATTCATGAGTGTAAATATAACAACAACTCTGGGTTGGTTTTCTTCTCTTTTGTTTTTACATGTGAATATTTTGGCTTACAAAATTAACAGCATACAGTAAATAATCCTCCCATACTTTGTACAAACTACATGATTTTGATATACAAGGATTCTGGTTTTATTACAGTGACAATATACAACCATGTCTATTTACAATGCAAAAAGTATATAAACCACATTTTAAACATTCTGCTACTGGCAGCCACTATTGTTTAGGAGGTAGCTTTAATTAACAAAATGAACTGAAGCCACATTTCCCATCATGTGTTCTATCAAATAATTTACAATACAAAGATAAAAATTCATTGTATGAACAGTATATACAGTTTAATTCTCAAAACAGCAATCTAGCTTTAAATCTTAATGACAATGTCTCCAGAGTAACTGGGATGGCAGTGGATTTGCTCTTGATTTAGTGTATTGTTCAAGAAACACACATAATTACTTAATCATGCATTCATAACTTTATATCGATCAGATTTCAAACTAAATATAGGTAATTGGATTGCTGATTGTACTTCAATCATTTGGGTCTCAGGACTTGAATAGTTTAAAAATAATGCACTGATTTACATGAAAATCAGTGACTTTGCAGCACAGTGTACTTCACTCTCAGTAAAATAATTGGCAAAAATGCTTTTCTTTTATTGCAAAACTGCTTTATCTTTTCCTTCCACTTGCTAAAATCTCACTCTCTTCATAGATATTACTGGGGTGCTGTAACATTCAATGGGCTGCAGAGTATTTGCCAGTCTTTCTGCAAAGACGTGATCTGTATACATCGACAGCATTGCTGACACCCCCCGGTCTTTCCAACAGTGTGACCCGACTGCATAATACTGAAGAAAGTTGCTGTGGTTCACCTGAAGTAATGCATCATCACTGGAAAAATGTGTCCAACCCTGTTATTCCTGACAGCTGTTAATATGCTTATTTCATAGTCGACAGATACTGTGGATTACAAGTGCTTTATTGTAACAAAACCTTTTTTTTTTTAATTGAACATTGGCTTGAAATACAAAAGAAACATGGTGCTCCTATACTGCTGTCACAGTTATGTATGGGAGAATTAATCCCTTTTTTGGCCCTGCAGTAAAATTCATCCTGAGATTCAATGCTGAATACACTATACAAAGCTAGCAAGATTTTTTTGCTTAACTATAGAAAAGTCACATTTAAAAATAATTTCTTTAATATTAAACAGCTGTCCTTTATATTGTTCTTTGGCAGAAAAAAAAAAAAAGGAAAAAAATCAACAGAACTTACCTTGCCAACAGCAGAAGCAAAGTACAACTGGAGTACAACGTGGAAACACACCATTAGCATGTAAAAAACCATATAAAAGAAACCACTAGTGTGTGGAAAGAGTTAAAATATTGGGTAACAAATTTGGTTTACCAATTATTTACAGTCAGGGCAATTGATTTATTTAACTATTTTTAAATGTATGGCTCAAGAAGTTACTGCCCACTTCCCTTCTTTACAAATGACACTAAACGCTGATTACAAAAGTGCTTCCTGCGCGAAAGGTCAAAACAGGCAACAGTCCATGAAGCATCATACCTCTTTATTAGAACAGCTGATGGCAAAAAGCCTTTTCAGTCTTTAATTCTCGGGATGTTGTAGGCATAACGAACCAAAGGGAATCCTCGGCTTTGGTAGAAACACGCACGGCCGCAGGCCTGCACCTGGTCAGAGCTGTCTGACACGAAAGAGTCATCCTCGTCCGCGTAGTCAGAGTGGGCTGACTGGGTGCCGCAGTCCGACCAGTAGCCATCCGGCCTTTGGCAAGGCACCACTGCCAGTGCGGGGCAGCTGTGTGATTTGATTAAATGTTTACAGGGCACAGGCTTGGATAAAAGGAGTGATTCGCAACATTCACACATGGTGATGTTACCCTGCAAATGGGTATAGACCCCACAGTCATAGTAGAAATCCTGCGTCACGCAGCCCCCTTGAGCGTTGACGGCGATAGCTACCGCTCCGTTCTTCCTGGTCATATGGCGCCTGAGCAGCTTCCAGTCTTCCTTGAACTTTGGGTTGAAGAAGACGTACAGAACCGGATTCAGGCAAGCAGGTAATGGGAAAAATATCAAGGTAACAGACTTCATGATTTCAGGGCTGATAGAAATCGCAGTGATCAACGGTGCAAATGAGAAGAACGCAACAGGGCAGAAGAAGATGCAGTTCGTGAAGATCAGCCAAGCGACATGCTTAATCATGCTGGACTGTGAGTTTTCCGAGAGGTCCTCTTTTTCCAAGTTGCAATACAGTTTAGTGTAGATAATAGCCATTAGCAAAAATGCTAATGAATTCAGGAGCACTAAAGTTACTGTGAAACCTAACGAAGGCGTTTCTCCAGTGGGGAAGGGCAAGCAAAGGGGTGATGCTGAGTACTCCGCTTTATAAAAAAGTGGTAAGCATCCTGCTACCACAGCACACAGGAAAGCAAAAACTGCTGCAATTTGAAATTGTTTTTGTCGATTGCTCTTCCCCTTTTTAATGATCTCCTTCGCAGAGAAGCTCCGTTCAACAGCTGCCAACATCAGGAAAAAAATGGCACTTTCTGACGAAAAGACTGCAAGAAACCCAGCAGCTCTGCAACCACTGCCAGTCTCCCACCATATGCCATATTCAGCAAATCTTCCCCATGAGACAGCATCCAAGAAAGTTAAAATACCAGTATAGACTCCCATAAATAAGTTAGAGACAGAAATCAGGCCTATAAACAGTTTGGAAGACGGCAATGGAGTACAGGATGCAAATATTGTTAACATGACAAGCAGGTTGAAGAACAAAGCAACCAAAAAAATAAACCAGACAGTAAGTCGAATCATCCAGCTGCCCAATAAATATTCACAAGGCTTAAAAGCACCTAGAAGAAAAAAAAAAACAGGACCACCAATTTAGGGAAAAAAAATAAATCAGGCCTTAATAAGCACGATTTTCAAAAGGCATTACAAGAGCACTCCTCATTAATTCATGAATTGAGTACACAGCTGAACTGCTAAATAGGTCAGTTGAAAGTAAACTATTCTGCTGAAGCTATTTACTAATTAATTATGCCTGAAATAATAATTACTGTGATGAATGGTCACTAGAGAATGCTTTGTGTAAACAAGGTAGCTAAACAAACTTAATTACCTTTTAGCTACTCAAAAGAGCTTTTATTAGTGCTACCTAAATACGTTTTATTTTCTTTAGATCTCATACATCATTTAAAAAGTTGGTAAAATAAAAGGCAATGTTCACAACCAACTTCTAAGGGGGAAGGATTTTTTAGAAGTAACATGTTCTCTCAAAAAATGATTCACAAACATGCCTTCCGAAGTAACTTTTGGTCACAGGGAAACATCTGTAAAACAGCCAACAAATTGAATTTATCAGCTTTAATAGGGACAGGAATTCACCACAAGTCCTCTCCCCCACCCTCGTCACTGAAAGGCACTGTGAGCTTAGAAAGTCTAATAGGGTAAATATTTTTTTTCTTCTTTTGCCACTTAAAAAAGCTTAAATAATAAACATCTAACAAGCAAAATAATATGAGGCAAGACAAGGAAAAAAGGTCACTACTTCTGCTTACCCTTCTAATCCTTCTAATTGCTATTTATTCCAGGGGGGAAATCCTACTGATTTCAAGTAACAATTAGAAGAGTTTAACCTCTCCTAACATCCCCATTAGGCACTGCTAATTGTCTGAAGCACAATAGCTGTGGATCTCTCCCTGCAGTCAGGCACTCTGGGAGCTGAGGGCAGAACTGAAAAACACCAAACTGGGCTGCTACCTCAGGCTGGAGCTCCAGAGCCGGATTCAGCTCTCCCAGCTCTGCACAGCTCATGCCCTCCCTTTAGGCAGGTGAAAGGTAAGTACAACCCATCCCTAATGCAGGCTGGAGCAACTGTGGAGAGTGGTTAAACACCAGTGCAAAAACATCCCAAGGCCTAAAGCAACTTCCAGAAATTACTGAACTGACAAGTCAAAAAATAATCTGTTTGTTTAAATGAGCAAGCTTCACTTCCGGGTAAGAAATAATGGTTCTAACTAGATTATCAGACCAGTAAAATCAGCAGTAAAATCCCTTTTTTGCAACTATTCCTGAGTAAGACATCCTTGTCAGAATAATTATTTTTACAGTACATTGACATGATGCAACAATACCTGCTAAGGTGAATCTACTTAAAAATAAAAACAACTTCCCATTTAGCAAATTTTAAAATGTCAGTGCTGGGCTTCCAAAAGCAATTTGAAGTCTGTTTTCTAGTAGCTGTACAGTGAGGTATTGTTAGACAAAATCCGCCAAGCTTTCCTGTCTTTCTCCTGAAGTCTAACTATACTTATAGTTAAAAGTTGCCCTCCTCTCACTAATATTCCCATCCCACCAGGGGCAATTCATGCTCGGAAGGATGAGTTTCAGGGCTTTCAGTGCTATGCTACTTGAGTGCCACTGTTCAGCAATCCATTCCTGCCATTAGGCAAAGCGGAAAGTGGATCTACGAGATGAGCAATGATTCAGAACTTATGGTGGGTGGAGTGTCCTACTTATGACCAGACGACAGCATGGCACAGAAAACAAGTTGTTAGTATGGGAGGGACTGGTGAAAAACAAGGCAAATTGTGAACTTGTAAAACATGCTCTTCATTCCTTTTAGAGCTACAGCATCTCTGGCATGGGCAAAAAGAGAGAGCTAAAAAGGCTTTAAAGATTCAACCCATGTAACACACATCTAAATTCCCATTCTGTGAACAGGAGATCAAAAGCATTGGTGAAATTAATTCTCAGATCACATACAGTTACATTAATAATATATTTGACTTTCTGACCACACTTTTTTTTGGCTGTGATCAAGAAATCCTTGTAATATTCTGTATACTAAAGCTGGAGTAGCTCAAAAGATGAAGAGTGAACAGATTTTCATAACGGATGTAACATACCATTTTAGGAGAAGAGAATGAAACAAGACTTGGGAAACCCCTGCTCATCCCGAAGCATACTGTTCCCCCCACCTATGTGTTCCTGTTTATGTGAACAGGAGGGTGCAAGATGTACAGTAGGAATCCTCTGGAGAGCCCGTGGCAAAGGCAAGGAAGTAGGAGGCACCACAGCAAGCTCTTTAGGAGCTGAGTGGAACCGTGTGTGGAAATTTGCAGTTCAAGGAAGATAAGCAGAAGAGCAGCAACGGAGCTGCCTAGAATTAAAATATTCGTTTGCAAGATCAAAGACTTTCAACACTCCTGGACTGTTCAAGCCTGAACTGGAGTAGTTCTGGTATGCCAATAAAACTACTCATTGCACATATATCTATAGCAGTTTAAGATGCTACTGCCTGCTCCAGCTACTTCTAACAGCCCTCTGCTGTCAATTAATGCTGCTATAGCAGGGCCAGGAACAGATCACATAAGCGTTCCTCATCCTCTCCCCTGCAAACACATCAGGCTTAGTTAAAACCACCAATGACAGCAGTTTGGGTTCAGCTTCTAAAGCGCAGGCTGACTTCTCACTGAAACAGATGAGCACTCATACAGTCTGTTCCACAGACATCTCTTTGGCAAAATAACACAGAATTAGGGGACAGTGCATTAAACACAGCAAACTTCAAAAAAAAGTATTACAGTCTTGTACGTTCTGCTTATGGAAACAAGCTTCATGTTTTTTCCGAGCATCATTCTCCAGTATAGTGCTGTGTGTCTAAAGCTGAGCCAAATCTTTGTGACTGCTCATCCAAAACAACACTGACATCAAATGAAGTTTCACCCAAGCATTGCAGAATTTAATCTTCTGCGTACAGAATGACTACGAGGCACGAAACGTAATTCTGCAGACAGCTATTTGCATAGCACCATGCCTGAAGTTCACAAGGTGGCTGAAGCACATTATAAGATTTACCTGTTGCTGGTGTACAGTGAATAATAGTCTGCCCCAGTTCCTCATTTTCCTCATTTCTTAGAGTATTTGCATCAGCTGTACCAAAGTAAAAATGAAAAACAGGTTAGTTGTAGGAAGAAAAAAAGTGAAATGCGGTGAAGCTGCCTAGGATGGAAGTAGTCCTTTGAAAGATCAAAGACCTGACTCTTCACCAACATTCAAGCTTTTAACAAGTGAAGCTGTTCTGGTTTGCCACTTAAGGTCAAACCCTCAGTGTGGAAATCGCTGCAGCAGTTTGAGTTACTACTGCCTGTCCCAGCTACTCACAATGCTTTACAACAAAGCAGCAACATCTTTCATCACTGGTGAAAAGATCCATGGCCTTGAAGTAGACAGCAGAAGGACAAGCCCTTTCTGAACAGGAAGGTCAAAATACTGAGAACCATAAAACATTTTTGTTCTGCCAGAAAATGACAGAAACAATACTGGCAGTTTAGAATTTTTTAAATTTTTTTTTTCTTTTCCTTAAACAGGCAAATCTTACACATTTAGAAAGAACATGGCACTGCCTATCTGTAAGCAGATGCTAAGTGCCTTCAGAGACAGCTTTTGTATCCCTGTAAAGATTTACATTTTCCAAATTTCTGTATTCAAAGACAACATACACTGCTATTCGGTCTAATCTGACCCAAAATAATACTGCTGGTTTAGTACAATGAAACACTTACCCTTCTCATGATCCATCAAGGCACCTTGATCTTGGTGACTGGATCCTTCAGCATTAGAGTTTAAATAAGAATCACAACCCCAAAACGCACAGCACTGGTAAGCGTACGGTACAGAGAGTGACCTGAAACACAGGCAGAACAACAAGTGTTACCCACTGTAACCCGAGTTAAGATTACCATCTATCAAAAATATTTCAGTGTCACACTTCAGTACTAAAACTGAAGCTTCTTTTTACCACAGGCGCTAATAAAAAGCTATTTCAAATTGGATCAGTTGTAACCATGTCTGATGAACTTTTGCACTGAGATAAAGGACAGGCTTGTCTGCTGCAAGGAGTACAAAGAAAATTCTGTGATGTTTAGGTCTCTCTGCTACTCATTCTACTCCATATACAAAACAAATTCCAGTCGGTGTTTGCAGCATTGCTGTATAAATGAAAATGAAAAGTAATTAAGCAAGTTAATTAAAGAGTAACTGTTTTGTAAGAAACTTAATTCCCAGATGACCATAATGTTGAAAATTACATCTTTCCTTCTCACTCTTCATTTTGCGGCCCCCAAATTAATTTTTTTTTTGCCTTTCTTTTTGTGTGTGTGTTTGACAGAAATGGTACATACTATTAATCCTGGCAGGGAAGAAGCACAGCTGCATACAGAGTTTTAAAAAGTCCACATAAACAATGAGATAATAGCAGACCAGAAGCTAACTCTTCTGACTTGAGGCTACAATATTGACTATCTGCAGTATTGTTCCTGAATTCTGTTCTTGTAAATATTTAGGAGGAACACCAGTCTAGAGGATCCCACAATGCATTAGCTCTCAAACACAGATTAAAACCTACAAACCAATCTGCTGTTTCCACAAGACTGCTGAGGCCTGCCACGGATTCCTTTGCTGGCCTTCGACAAGTTAACAGTATCTTTATCTCCATTTTTTCCATCAGACAGTATTGGAAACAATTTCTAACTGCTTCTTGAGGATTGAAATATTAGTGTGCAGAAAGATCTTTCAAAATGCAAAGCAGTTAATCACTGTCTGACCCACCTTCCACTGAAACCAGTACCAGCTTTCCATCTGAATTATTACTGTTATTTTTACCATTTGCCCCCAAGAATAAACAGCGTATGTACAAAGTGTGGTGACTACGGAATCAGACACCTGCGCTTCTGCTCCTGTCTTGCACACTCTAAAGACAGATGTGCTCAGTTCAATAACAAATGGAATCCACCCAAACCACTACTCCAAAGTCAGATGATATCTGTCTGGAAAGTGGTAGAGGAAAAATAGAAAACGTTCCAAGAAAATTGTCTGCGAATGGCTTCTATACCAAAATAGTCAGGTGCCCTGTCATATATGCCAACATTAAAGCCCTACAGGACTCAGCAAAGGCCCTGATTATTTGCCACGAGAATTATCTAAGCTGGCTTCATTTACTGCTATGTTGGACTCAGCAAAGGCCCTGATTATTTGCCATGAGGATTATCTAAGCTGGCTTCGTTTACTGCTGTGTGGCTTGTTACTGTTGAAGTGAGGCACTCTGTAGTGTTATTTACCAACATACCGGAGCTTTGCGAAGTTCTTGGCTGCCAAAGCTTCTTTCAACTCAGAATTGCCTGCAAGTTTAAGCTGGTTCAGTCCACTCAATCCTTCGGTTGGAACTGAAGTGAGTTCGTTGAAACTTAGGTCCCTGAAATGTGAATATTAAGACAGAGTTACAAGAAAGTCAGTTTGAAGATCCTACAGCGTACACTTCATTAGAGCAGGAAGGTTTTTTAAAGCCTCATCCTGAGGCTGTGGTCTGGCAAACGCCTGCCAGTGCAGCGGGCACTTCAAGAAGTCTGCCCTGCATACATTCAGCTAGTGAGAGGTTTTGAGATCCGCTGAGATGAAACATTCAATGGGCACATACCAGTTTTAAGCTAAAAACATTTACTATCACAGCAGTGAGAAGGTCGCTGCACAGAATAGCCTACTTACAGGTTAACGAGAGCTCCAACAGTGGTGAAAGCTTCCTTGTGGATCTGATGGATCCGATTTCTACTGAGGTCGCTGCAATGAATGCCAAATGGGATTATTTTAGCAGTTTCCTCAAAACTTTGTAACAGCCGCTGTACTGAGAAAAAAGCTAAGGTGACAAATACACGATGCCTCTGACAGGAAAGCTGAACAACACTCCCGTTTCCCCTCTCTCCCTGGTCAGACAGGTGCAGTAGCAGCCAAATCCCCTGGTAAGGCAGCTGTATCCTGCTTCACCTCATCCCAAAGCAGACTCCATCTCCCACTCCTGCCCCCTTTCCCTTCCTCTTGCCATATATATATTATGACATATATATATTATGACACTCCTTATAAAACACCTGTCAATTTGTGGATGTTTTTTTCTGATAATTTCAATGTTCTTTTATAATCTTGATATAGCTAGAGATGTAAGGGAGGGAATAGTTTTGTCTACTGATTTGCTCCTCTTGAGGAAAACAGATAGGATCTCTCCAATAAGTACTATATAACAGAATAATATAGTAATAATATAATGCTAAATAGTGGATTACTGAAAAAAAAAATCTCCTTTTTTAACTCCATATATATATATATATCTTTACAGTCTATAAAAGCAAAATAGAGAATGGAAAGAATGAGACTGAAACTGGCTGCTCCTAGTATCTCTTGCAGGTGGTTTGCTTCACCTTGGGATCCAGCATACATGGCATTTTGCCATCAGTCAGACTTGTAACACCAAACTCTGACATCAGTTTGCATGGGAATCAGAAACATTATCTTGTTTTACTCAGTATGCAACTAAGTACACTTACAGGATACGAAGGGAGGACAGTCCTTGAAAGGTACCCTCTGTGATTTCATGGATTTGATTATGCTGTAAGGAACTGCAAAGTGAAGAAGTAGAAACACAACTTTATTGGCAAACTGGGCTGACTTCAAACCAAGGGATAGCTCAGTGCCTGCTAATACACAGACTTAGTCTTATCAATGGCCAGACTTTTCTCATGTTCCTTTGTACACAAACTGCTTAGGTATCTGCTCTGCACTTAACACGAGCCATGTGAATATAACCACAAAGCTCTTCCATGGCACCTCTGCCCAACCCCAGTTCACAACTCATGTAATTCGGAACAGACTGTTAAGTGTGGACTGAATTCCTTCCAAGCTAAAAGTAATACTTTGTGAACTTTGAAGAGTCACACTGAGATTTAAAACAAATCTACTTAATCCTGCAGGGAATCTTTAGGCATCTTCTAAACCTGGGTGCACTTTCATTTCTCAAAATATGGATTTATGAAAGGGAAGAGTTCAGAAATGCTTCAAGAGCTAATGGGCAAATTATACTTCCAGTTCACTAGCTCCTTTTACAATGAACCATGTGTACAACAAGCCCAAAGATGTCAAGAGTGTAACAACAAAGGCCTGTGAGAAGTCTACGAGCCCCACTCTGGTTAAAGGGGAAAAAGCGTGAGTGCAACAGAGGCAGAAGGAGAAGTAGGAACATATGCAGCAGAAAAATTGTGTAGCATCTGGAAGTTAACCTGAAGCAGCTTTAAAGCAATAAAAGTAAGGAAATGCAACGATGGGGTTCGAATGTGTCTTACAGGTACTAGAGGAAAAAACATTTTACGTAAGTGTAGGAGGATGGCTGGAGGGAACTGAAGAAGAGTGGAAGAGGCAAGAGGCAGGAAGGAGAACACGTAACTGCTCCTTCCATTTATGTGTATAGCAATACTACTATGAAATGCAGGATTAAGATGTCCTTCATTCTTTTTTCTGCCACAGGAACAATTAAACTTTAGCCAATTGAGGAAAACACAAGCGACTGACTTCTCTGTCCAGCACACGCCTCACATGAGATGGTCATATTTTTCTGGCCTTAATCTTAGAATTGTACTTATGATCAAACATGAAGCCAAAAAGTTTCTAGATACCTGGACTCAGCATACTAAGGAGGTAATAACAATAAACAACACGTATTTCTACTTACACTTCTTCCAAAGAGTGGCAGCCCTTAAAACTTGGGAGGTCCTTTATATTGTTATAAGACAAGTCCCTTCAAAACAGAAGATGGTACAAAGGTGCTTAGTTTGGCTCTTTTCTACTTGAAACATGTCATCACTTGTAACTGTTAAATGGACTGGCAAAAAATCTTCCTATTAGTAACATTCTGCAGAAAAACTAAGGGCAGTTTAGAGAAAATCATGAAGGGAATCACAAGTGTGATCTCTCCACAGTCATCCTAACTGGCCCCGCTATGCACTTTGATTATACATATCTACACACCCGAAACCATAGAAAGACATAACTGCTATGTCAAGCTCACAACACTCAGCAAACAGCAGAAATAAGGCTGTCTACATTAACTCTGTAAAATGTTGATTCATTGCCTTTTATTTACTCTATTCACGTAACCCTTTTAAAAGCTACATTTCTGTATCTCTCCCCTTTTTGTCTCTGAATTTGGCAACAATTTCTTCTTTTTAGTTTTCTGATGTATTCAACCAGTGATGTAAAGCAAGCAAGTGTGAAAAAAATAATCCCAAAACTCTTTATTTGGCAAACATTAACAAGCAAAAACAATGTTCTGTAACTGAAAAATAACAGAGAAACAGGCCATGCCTTTGTAGTGGCTTCAGCCGCTCATGAGATCCCTCCCAACCAACATTTCTGATTCTATAGGCACTGCGTTCAGCTCTGCATCTGGATTTATGGATATCCCAAAACCATACTGTACAAATTCTCTGCATTCCGGGAGTTGTAATCTAAAAAGGTTCATTGATAATCTACTTTTTTAGAATAAACTGGATAGACAGTGTGCAATGCAGGAATTTGGTGCAAATTTTGATTTAGTGTGCTGGTACCTCCCCTTAAGCACAGCTAGGAAAGTTCAGAATTTTCTGTGAAACTATGCAGCAAAAAAGGAGACTAGAAACTTGCAACCTTCAAACTTCTGTTCAAAAGGTAAACTGCCATTTTAAAGTAAATCCTACCTCATAATTCTTTTTCCCCTGTTTTCCTTCTATAAAACAGAACATACTTTTCTCCTCTTTTTCCAGCACTTGCTTTTGTTCCAAATTTTTCTGCACGTTTATCCTTTGCAAACGTGGCTTTGCCTCTCCCTTCCTCAAGGGTTTCCTTTTCCAGTTCGATGTTTTGCACTTATTTTGACACATCCTTACTGCTTTTTCTGCTTTGCTTTTCTGTATTACTATCCTCTTCCTAATCCTCATCTCCATTTCTCTTGATTCCTAATGCTCTCTCTTGTGTTCCCAAACAGAAAAAGTCAAAGCACTTCCTTAACTTCTGAATGTAGAGGTGTACTGTTGTGTTAAGAATGACTGGTGGCAGAGTGAATTTCAAGATGCAAAGACTGTTCAGCAGCACACCTTACATATCTTTTATAACATATGAAAGAAATACAGTGCACAAAGGGGACCTTGTTTCAGGAGCAGAAGGCACTACGTCAGCTCTGCCATGAGTCTTGATTTGAAGAATCAAGAAACCAGAATCAGATTTCCAGCTTTGACAGAACTAATAGGATGAGCAATTCTAAGCGTTACTTTTGCTTTAAATTTGCTTTAAATTCATTTTAAAACATTTTAATGCAGATGAAAATAGGAGCACAATGTATATACTTACAGAGTTCGTAGCACCTTTTGCTCTTGGCATAAATTAACCGGAATACTGTTTATCTTGGTCCCTGTTAGAGTTCTGTGGAAAAAAAAACGTATATGAATGTGTGCGTTGTTGATGGTAGATGGCATAACAAGCATATGTAAGAGCAGAAGGAGGGTGTCTCAGATACTGGGGTGCCAGATTCACCCACTAACAACATTTTGTTCGGTTTGGTTTGTTTTTTTGGAAGAGGCCAACTTTTCTGGTTTTCAATTCTGTGAGAGAGCAGTTAGTATCAATGGCCTTTTCATAGGCTGTTGTCAGCTTACCCCACTAAAAAAAAAAAAAAAAGACAGTTGCTCTCCAGATCCACTAATCATATTTCAATCACATCACAAGAGGCAAACCCAATAAATTATTGGAAATTATTTCTGCAGAAGATACTTACAAACTCTCCAGATTAACTGTTCCTGTCAAATTAGGAAACCACTGCACCATGCTGGCACCCCGAATAACCCTAAAAAAAAGCCCCACAAAAATTAGCTGTAAACTATTATGCAAAGAATTGTGACATTGGATCCTGCTGTGAGATGCACATATTCAAAAGGAAACATTCTAAAATCTTTATTGCTTTTGTTTAAATTTTACACATAAGATAGTCTTTTTCACTGCTTCTTATACTAGTCATTTGCCTAATAAATTATTCCTCTGTTAGCAAACAACTGGAATTCACCAAGCTGGAAAGAGTCCTATCAACACACATATGAAAAGGGCAGAAACTCTGCAGTAGTCTGTAGTTCAAAGTTTGAAATCTCACTCCATTTTGCTCTCTCGTCACCCCCAGAACTGATATCTTTTGAGAACGTGCATGCACTAACCTGCAAAACATTCTCATAATATACACCCCTGTTCAAAAACCAACCAGGACACACTGCAGTTTGTTTAAGTAAGAACCTGAGCATTTGGCCTGAGGTTATGTGTCTTATGCAAGGTAATGCAGATTAAAAAAAAAAAAAGTTACAGAATATATTTAGTAGAGCTTCTTATGAAACTGGATATTCCCAACAATAACAATGTTTATAAAAGCTTACTGCAAAAAAATTACAAGGTAAGAGGCAGTCAGAAAATTTAGTTATTTTGAGTTCTTAGCCAAAACATTCCTATCCATTTATTGTACGATATAGTTGAGGTGATACTTACAGAGAATGCAGATCTGACAGATTCTGAAATGCTGAGTTCCCCACAAAAGACAAAGGATTATCATACAAATGTCTGGGAAATTAAAAACATGTTTCAGTCGCTATTCCAACAGTCACTGTCTGCTAAAGACTAAAAATAGATCCATGAAAATTACTTACATCGTTCTTAGAAGGGGGTTTCCTGCAAATGCACCATCAGGAATTATGGAAATGTAGTTACTGTGAAATCCCCTAAAGATATTAACAAAGAAGAAAACCAACATTTAAAAAGATATTGCCAGTAGATTCAACCAATAATCATTTTCTTCACACCTACTCAATTCCCAATCCTGCCAGAAACAGGATTTTAGTTAAACAGGAGTAAGTCAAACTGTAGGAATAACTTTGAAGGTACTATTTCTGTCTACTGCACATCAGCTAAACTGAAAATATTTCATTAGAAAGAAACTATGCTGTCTGAAACATGATCCTGTGCTTTCTCTCCTTTTCCCCCCCTCTTAAGGAGGGGAACAAGGGAAACAAGTGTGATCAGTGAATACTTAATTCTGCTACTGGAGGCCAAAACCAGCTCATGATTATGATCTATGCTAATGGTTCTCCTGAATAAATTGCTTGCTTATATAACTCCAAAATAATTTTCAATAGATTCCCTCTCTAACTGATGATTATATTTTCCTTTAATTATAGCATCACTTAGCATAACTTAATCTGATCTAGGTTGCCGCATAATGAGACAAGCATTCTTAAATCTGGGAATTTCTTTTCTCTTTATTGATCGAAAGGAGAAAGAAAACTGGTAGAAAGGGATAATAAGTAATACTCACAATTCCTTTAGATTTGGGAGTGCTTTTATGGCTTCAGGGAACTCTACCATGTTATTATAATTTAAATCCCTAGAAGAAACAAAGCAGGAAAATTATAAAATTCTTAATAGTGATCATGAATTGTTAAAATAATGTTTAACACAATTCAATGAAAGTAAAAAGTTCCCAGAGCATCTTTAACTAGATCATAGAATAACTTGATTTTTGCCTTAGATTTAGCCTTCTAATGTTTTACATGCGCTATAACCAGCTAATAACCTAGGTAAGACATTTAATATTATCCAGAGAATTATTCATATTAACTCAAATGACACTTCCTTACAGCAAAGTTCAGTATTTTTCAATACCTCACAGATTTTTCTTCAGCAGAATTTACATGGAAATGAACTCAGATTTCAAAGTTAAAAAAAAAAAATTAGATACAAATGACTACTCTTTATTAGCTTACTCCAAAAAAATTTCTTTCAAGTTTTATAAAATAAACAGTAAATAAGCCACTAGGTAATAGGAGACCTTGTGGCAAAAACAATTATGAATATTGAACAGAAGCAGAAAGAAATTTCATCCCACTGTATCAGTACATCTCAGTGGTGGGGATCTGCTGAAATCTCAGTTAACCTGTCACCGTTCTAGCAGTAATGTCAGGACCAGCTACAGTCTTTTTTCTGCACAAGGGATTCCTTACGAGAAGGAAAAACACTTTGAGAGTCTTACATCAGCTAGGCACATTTACATAGTGTCTAATTATTACTTAATTGAGGTTCTAAGAGAATGACATGGTAGCTGGAGTAAGCAGCACTCCTGGACTCATCCAAACTCATGTTAAAAGAGGCTGTCACTGGCTTGCCCTTGCCCTCCTGCATTGGTTTTATTTATTTACCATTCTCCTAAGCATAACAAAATGCACTGCTGAAGGAGATACCGCTTATTAGACATTCACTGAGTGAGCTGAAGGGAAATGGAGAATGTAACCCAGGTGGCTGAAAGCCATTCCTCGCCAAGGAGGCACTTGGAGCACTGCGGAGTCAGGCTCCGGCCACTGGTGACACCTGGTTCTGGGACAAGCGCAAACTGTCCATGGTGACAACAGACATGGGGTGAGGGGAAGGTGATACTTCCCATGTCCACCCCCATTAGGTTCACTGTTTCAGATAAACCAGCCCATCATACGAATATTTGCCAGTATTTGAATTGAGCTCAGGTGCATCTCTTGCATGAGGGTCTAGGAGCGGGGAGCTGGGCTGTTTTCTCCCAGCCCGCAGAGGCTCGGGTCAGGAGCTGCGGGGACACGCAAGTGACAGCCTCCTTGGCAGGCAGTGCTCCCCATCCAGTAAGGGAGGAGCAGGAGAGAAACAGCCAACTGGGGCCCCGAGTGCTCCCCATCCAGTAAGGGAGGAGCAGAAGAGAAACAGCCGACTGGGGCCCCCTGAGAAACCTCCTCTCGTGACACAACCGTTTTGGCAGTGTAATTCAAATACACTTAATCCTACGGTAAATCTGAGAAACAAATATTTGTCCCTTATCACCCACAGGGCCACTCAAACACTTCTGCTACATCCACCTGACTCAGTGGAGTGCTATGCAAAGATACACCAGCTAGATCAGGGCCAGGAACATCAGAGCCACCTCATCCAGCGTGACATTTCACCCAGGCTAATATTTACCTGCTTCTCAACATAGTTAATTAGTTTTGGTGGAGCACTGCACTGATAACTATCCTTCAGTTCCGAATCCTGAGCTGGACCTAAGTGTTGGTGGTATGTGTTATGCAGCGCACACATGCCTTATTTGCAAAATCTTCACCATACCAGTAAGGTAATGTTGATTAAGCTGGGAATGAGACAAACACTGAACAACAAATTACTTTAAGAAGCATACTTACAAGGTTTCAAGGTTGTCTAGTCCATCAAAACAGTGTTTTCCTATAGTTTTTATTTTATTATTATGAAGATGTCTAAAAAAACAAAACCAAAACAAGTATCAAAACCAGTGGATGATTTCATATAAGTTAACAAATTAGCAGATATTTCTATGAAATCAAGACAGTTAAATAGTTTAGAAAAAAACTTCGCATGGGGTGGATTATGTAGAAGAATGACTTTCACTTCCAGACAGAAATATTTAATCCTGATATGGGATTGCCCACAGTCAAGATAACCTATTTTAAACATTTACCAGCTATCCAGAAGGGTGATAAAAATATGATATAAACATATAAATCAAACTAATTTTTCATATTCATCCTTGGAGACACTTAAGACTAAACAGAAACAGGTTTGTGGCAGATAATATTTTCTTCTTCTAATGTCTCTGAAAGTTTTTCCTGACAACCATTGGTTTGAAATATTAATTACTAAAATGAGATGTCAGGAAAATACATGTCAGTCGCATTATCCATGGCCCATTTAACTTTCTGTTTAGGAGAAAGTCTTTAGCAACTCTTCAGCAGGTTTTCTAGTATTTATGTTATCATCTCGTGTTGCTGGTATAGGCTGTTACTAGACAACTGAGCTAAACCACAGCAAAACACCATTTTCAGTGCTACCCTGGATTAATCAAAACCTTAACTGAGGAGAGAATTAAAGTGACCTATGAAATACAGTTACAAGTACTCACAGAACAACAAGACTTGAAAGGTTTGTAAATGCATAGTCAGGAATGTGTGTTATTTTGTTGAGAGCCAGCGTCAACGCCTGCAGAGAGGGGAGATTGCTGAGCGGGTAGATGGGAACTTCTGTCAAACTGTTGTCATCCAACCAAAGGTGACGCAACTGCACCAGACCCTCAAAACTGTCTTCTGGTATGGCAGTAATGTGGTTAGCATCTAAGCGCCTACATTAAAACAAAAAGAATTCACATAGTAAATTCACAAACTACAGACAAGTAAAAATTTCAATTCAAGTCCTATTACTCCTGAATATTTTTTTAAGCTTAAATATGCTTTACTGAAGTAATACTGGAAAGTTTAAAGGTCTACTGAATGATGCATGAACATCCTTTGAAGGCAAACGAAGAGCCCATAAAAGAAAGCTTCATAAAAATTTATTCTCAGACATTTTTAATAGAACATTTTAACAAATCATATGCTTATAATCACCTTAACAAAGTGAATTGGTAACTATATAGCCGCCTCCCAGCTGCTAATACTGGAATAAGTCTTTAAAATGGTAGCTTGATATTATATCAAATGCAGAGGCATTTACCCATTTGAATGGATTATTCCTACAGCTACGTTGTCAATAGCATCATATACTGTTATATGGGGTTTTTTGTGGTACTGCCGTACCCCTTAAGCAACTACTTTAGAGAAGATTAGTAAGACCAGTTCTTGAATGAAGTTGGCGTTATGGATCATCCTGGGAAAGAAAACACTGTATCATCAACTAAAACTTAGAAATTTCTTTCACTCTTACACCTGATCCCTTCCAGCATGCTCCACAAAGCAGTGCAAAATAGCACATTAGCACTGCTGACTACTGTGCGTTATTGGATTTGCCATCACACTTTTTCCCCAAATTAACTCCAATCGCAAATATTGGCAGTGGTAACACACGTGGAAAGCAGCTTAGCTATCTTTCATACAGAAAGTCAAACCACGTGTGACAATTACTTCTGCTACAGTTACCGGCTCACCTACACTATTGGGTTTCACGGCTTCTTCAGGTTTCAAAGCATCAAAAAAAAAAGAACTTCACACCTGGAAACCTAGGAGGCTAAAACGCACGTCCTCCACTCCGACTCCAGATGTGAAGCCCTTATGACAGGAGGCGCAGATGTTACTGTCAGAGCCTCATCCAGAATCCTTACCCATGACAACTGACAAACCTGATACTGCAACTCCTTGTCTGATGGCTTTGGCAGCAACAACAGAAACTCACGCAAAATGACATGTGCTTTTTACTCTTGCAATACACTCTGAACCAATTTGTTTTTTCATCTTCCTACACCAGCAGTGTAGTTACTTGGATAGCACCACTGGCAACCAGGGCAGGCAAAAGGCACAGGCAGGGACCAGTTCAGGTTTGTTAACACTACACCATGCAACCAGATGCATTGGGGACAAAAGTGGAACACCACCCATACTAAAAGACTGAGCTTGGATTTACACACATGGAAGCCCCAGGAATGGGCAGCGTGTCAAGGGATGACCCAGGAAGAAGCAAAACATTAAAAAAGTTCTATTCTTCCTAAGGCAATGAGAGGAGAGGTCAGCAGCGACAGCCCAGGAGATGAAAAAACCGGACTGTAACAGACCCAAGCTAGCACAGGGCTGAGAGCAACAGGCAATGTTTGACTGTCCTCTGGCCCAGAGGCTGTCTTGTCTAGCTCAACACACAGCTGAGCAGTGGTGACTCCGCTGCAAACACGGAAGAGAACACCTTGCATAACTGCTTTGCAATGAGTGGTGTACCAGCCACGGTATGTATGCTGCTATCTGGGGAGACAAAACGCTCACAAGCTCCTCCATTTGCATCGATGTTCATTACGATACAAATCAGTACAGGTTTCGAGTTATATTAAGCATTCCCTGTGTTTCTCAAGCCATGATCAGACATGCTCTTGACAGTCCAGCTGGGTTAGTTTAAGAAGTCGTTGCCTCCAGCCATCCATCCCATCCCTCTCTGGGCTGGCAGAGTGGACCAAGGGACTGCACTACATTTGTTCTTGGGCACAGTCACGACAGCTTAAAGTGCCTCTGTACCCCAACACTTAAAGGAGGTGTTCAATTCAAAGGGAAAAGACATACTTGATCAAGAATAAATGTGCTCAATCTATTTCTGTGAAAGTTTTGTTGCTGTGATGTACATGGTTTAAATATTTCAAATTATTAGGGGGAGAAAGTCAGCACCTGAATTTTAATGTAATAAAGTCAAAAAATACATCAAGTAAAGCAACAAATATCCCAATACAAGTGGGAACTTAAACTGTCTGCAGTCAAAGGCTCTCTCCTAAACGGAGTGAGGTGCCATTAGCTCTAAAGCTATACATCAAAGAGCTAATTCCTATGGTTCATATACTGGCATCCCCTTATCATTCGCCCCATGGTCTGACAGGTGTGTACACTACTCTGTTTGAATGCTTTTAGGCTGCACTGAGACTGGAACGTTTCAGAGAAATTAAATGTCTGATGATAATAAAGAAAAAAAAATAAGGGGGGGAAGGAAAAAAGCCTGCGGCTCTACTTTAGAAAAAAAAAAAAAAAACCCAACAAAACAAAACAACTAGAAATTACCTGTCTTTCTTCTCTCTCCTAAATTCACACACCTCCCTGAAGATCAAAAGAATTATTTTCCAGTGGAATAAACATATCTAAGTCTCCTCTTCAACTACTTTCTCCCTGACCACCCCCACTTTTTTTTTTTTAAAGAGAAGCAGCATAGTCGAGAGGCAGGCCTCCATCCTTATGACTACCTGTCCATGCCTATGTGGCATAGGCCTAAAGTGGGCACTACTATTACACAAAAAATATTTATTGGTGCTGGTTTTCTGTTCTTGGTTGTCACACCTCAAGCCTTATTTTTAACTAATTCAGCCATTTCTGTCTCATCCACATTTTTTGTGCTCCTTCGTGCCTCTTAGTCCAAGCCTGATGTGCCACAGTCCTTTTTTCTTTTTTTTTCCCTCTTCCAGTCAAAGCTTATCCACATTATGTTCAATGCACAAAACACAGCTGAAACACTTCTATTTAATGTGAAATGCACATATTGGAGTACTTTGTGAAACAACTGAAAAGCAACCTAAAATATTTGACAGCTTCCACAAAATGTTACAACTAAGGAGCACACCTTTTCTTTAAGATGGGAAAAGGGAATATTCACTGCCTCCAATAACTAGCAAAGTACAAGTCACATTTTTCGCTTGGACTGAACTTTTACAAAGACTGTCCTTTTCCATTAAAGTGTTAAAGATATGACTATGCTTTGTAAATTAGAGCTTGCAGTACGTACTCAAATTCCCTCATCTTTCAGAAGCTACTCCAATTCCAGCTTCCCTATAGGCACTGGCTTGTGAGACACCTCTACATTTTAGTCCATAAATTCAGAGTTCACTTGCAGAGCTGTCATCTTCACTTTTATTACCTGTCAGGTTCCCTCCTCACACAAACTCCAACTGCAGAAGAAGAAAGAGCAGGAGGATGACAGAAACCTGTTCATTCAGCAGCTCTTATATCAGTCTTTGACATATTGTTAGAACAAGTAAAGAACATAGCAACTTTAAGGTCTTCAAACAATTAACTCAGCTCTAAGGAAACTGTAAAACTAGTATGAACTCCTACCTCAATTCAAATGAATAGAAGTTCCAAAGTCTAACACGCATATATAGGATCTTTTTAATATATATATAGTAATATAAACACACACAAAAATACTATTCCAACTCCAGTGTATTTCAACTTTTCATAAAGTTTTTCACTACAAATCTTAGTCCATGCCCGACAGGAGAACGCTAGTGTGTGGAGAGCAGATACCTGGGAGGTGGCATCACATGGCATGGCATTCAGATTTTTTAATACATTGAGGGGTCAGGAAAAAACATTGACAATTTTTTTTCATTTCTGGAGCATTGGGAGCTTAAGAAAAAAAAAATAAAAATCACCAAATCTCCTCAGTGTCTCCTCGGGATGTCCCAGGAGCCAGCCAAGCCCCCTCCTCCCCTGTACCACACGGAGCTGCAGCAGAAACCGCTGTGCCAGGCACTCACACAAAAGCAGGCACAGGAGCCCTGTTACTGGGTGCAGAGTCTACTTACAGCATTAAAAAGGGCAAAAGGAAAGGACACTCATGGCCGGGTTTGGGCTGGCCAGCAGCACTGCTCAGGGCAGGTGCCCTACAGCCGCATCCCTCGTGGGATCCCTGCACAATCACACTCACACATCTCCTCCGGCTGCCCAGCCCCTCCGGTGCTGCCTCTCTGGTTTATTCTTTTCCCATCCTCCCAAAGCCACCAGATGCTAGGCAGCAAGGGTGCCTCCGCGCCAGAGCTGGGGAAGAAAAGGCAGAGCATCCCTCAGCCATGCAGCCAGGCTGCCAAACCTGCAGCTTTGCATGGTCCCAGCTGGTCCTGAGGGAGAAGGAACGCGAGTGGGAGATCTGGTCACAAAAAAAAAAACAAACCCAAACCCCTGTGTTTTGCTCTCATCCCGTAGTGTCTCCAGGGACTTTATGGTCAATCCTCACTCTAACACGATTTGCCTGGGAAGAGGAGACCATGGCGGATTTATTTGTAGCTAGTGTCCCAGCCTCACCAGGTCTCATTTGTGAGCACATTCAGCCTTTCAGGCTTCAGTGACTGGGAAATTCTAACAGCCTTGTACTAATAGCAGGAGTTTAACATTGACGTTAATAAAAGGAAAATCACTCCCAGCTCTTGTGTTAAACCACTTCTGCTCAATGGCAATCATCGAAGAACTTTGCTCTTTAAAGTGCTCCTTCACAAACCACAAACAAATCACTCAAATAACACTGGAGTACATTTTTAGGTTTTGAAGTTGAGTACTGATAAGGCTGGTACCTAGGAAATTCTGCCACAATGCGAGGCAATAAACCCATCATGTTAACAGAGGTACTTTACAATACTCGGCGCGTTTGCTCACTGTATCAAGCGGTGTCTCTCTGTACCTTAGAACATCAATACAAGGATTTGCTTTATTCAAAGACAAATTTACAGCAGCTCTCAGAAACTAATGATACATTCCAAAGCTGTTTCAGCCACCAGTACTGATGTGCCAGCGCATCCGTTTGCTCCATGTAAATGTTTGAGATGGTACCAGTCGCAAGATCGTACAAAGTTTGCTGCATTACCCATAGAGGATTCAGCTGATATTTACCCACGTTGTGTAAATTCCAACATCCCAGTTAAGTTTCTGATCACTCCCTTTATAAATAATTTCCTGATTTTTAAGGAATTAGCAATTTCTTAAGCAAGCCCAGACAGGTCAAAAGAAAAAAGAGAAAAAAAAAAAAAAAAAGCTACAGAAATCCCAGAGATTCCTGAAGCTCACAAGAAATACCCATAGCTCACTTTCAAGAAAACCAGAACAGCTTCTGAAGGTGAACATGGCATAGAAAAATGACATTCTTGTCAGTCAGCAAGTATGTAAAGTTCACGAAGCAGTATATTTAAACTGATGCATATTTAAAGGTTTTTCAGCACAGTCAAGCATGCTCAGGAGAGCTCCTATACATTCTTTACTCTAAAAAAAAAAATGCAAGGGAGAAAAAGCATATTCAGCATATTTAAGTTTGTATTATTTTTGCAGATTAAAAAGAAAATGTGTATTAGTTTCTTCCTTTCCCATTCTGATAGTTTAATCCTGGAGCTTATCACAGACTCACTTGAGGACTGTTCCCCTTTAACCCTTTAATAACAGCAAAGTAAGGAACTAAAAAACCTCTGAAGACAAGCCATTAAAAGTTGTTCAGCTGACAAACCACCTGCCACTGTCAAAGGTGCATAACACATATAAAACCACACTAACACTGCTGAACTTATGAACATGTTCCCCAGCCTCCCAGACAAGACTATCCTTGTCCTTCGAAACTCTCTAATCCAGAATCACAAAATTATCAACTCTGTCCCCACCCTTGTACCATCCATCTTTACTCTGCAAAGCAAGATCCTGCTTTCATTTCTCTCAAGCCCACACTAGGACCCCAGTCTTTCCTTCCCAGGCCAAACCAGTTCCCGCTCCCAGAAAATCTAATCCCATCCCAGTTCAGCCCTTCCGTGCCTCCTGCCTCAATCCTGCCTCAAACCTGCTCCAGCCTCTGCAGACAGGAAGGCAGACTGCAAAACTGGTTCTGATCCCACAGCAGAGGCTGCGAGCAGACCAGGCTTGCGAGTCAGAATGGCTACCGGGTACCGCAGAACACGACTGCTGACCACACGCACGGAGACACTACCCTGCAGCTGGGGAGAACACCCACACAAAGAGAAAGGCGGGAGCTATCGTAGTCGAGTACCACCCTGGCATGGTCCCAGTACCCACCATTTGGGAATCTGGCGTAACAGCATAGCTGCAGCGCTTTGAACCGTTGCTGCAGAATGCTCCAATATTCCCTGCGTGCGGGCATGTGCACACATGTGCAAGGACAGTAGCTCGGTGATTCCTGAGCTGCAATTATAATAAATCATGTCCGATGCATTAGCAGCTATTGATAAGATTTCAGGAATGACTCCTGGATTTGATGGCAAATGTCCACTAACCATTTTACAAACCTCCGCATTCTGGGTCAAAGCTCAGGATATGCAGCGTTACCAAAATAAGTCACCGCAGTCCAACATGCCATAAGGGACTTGAAGAAGTGATCCTCTGAAATGTCTTCCCGGTCCTTTCAGGCTCTGCACATGCTGCAGAGCAGCACACCACTGCTTCTGGCTCTCTGTATGCCCCTTGCATCACCAATAAACCTCACCAACACCATCTCCAGATCTAGAGTATGCCACCTTCACTACCTTGTGATAACAAAAATACACTGTTGATACTTTGCAGCAATTGAAATACATTCAGACAACTGTTCATGTTCATGAAGCTCATTTGTCAGGTTTTTCTGCTACCAAGAGCCATGGACACAAGCTGGGCAACTTGTGTTTTCTGTCTCGGTAGTGCAGTCCCACAGTCCCAGATGTCACCGCACCTCGCAACGTGAGAATACATCCTGCCAGATAAACTTCTTTGGGGTGCTAGATGGTGAGTTTCCATTCAGTAAAACTCTTCTGTTTTGCTAAATTTCACCTCCATAAAGAAGGACTCTATTCTAACTCTCTTTTGGAGGCCAGAGCTGGGAAAATATCCAACATAAACAGAAAATAAAGAGCTGTCCTTTAGTATTCTGAACCAGGCTGGCTCCTCGTCAGCTATAATATAAACATTAGAGATCATGAAGCTCCTGTAACCATCTTCTTTATTTCCACCCAGGTATGTTTGCCAGGCTTGTTAATACATACAGTGTGGCAACCATCTTCCTACGCAGCTAGAAGTTGGAGCACATTAAGAGAGAAATTGGAGAGTTCTACAGGAGTTGCAAACCAAGTGATTACCAATATACTATAAAGTTTTATGAGCAAGTAATTTGTGTCTTCACCAAGAAAAAATCCCCCTAAAGCCTACTTTAGAGCAAACTGGGAAACTGCCAAAACAGAGTCAGTTAAGTGATGTTTAAACTTGCAAGTTTTGGACGGAGATTATATATGAAAAAGGTAGAAGCAGGTTTTCTAACATATATTCTGCAAAGAGTTATTTGTTTTAGAAGAAGGTCACAGCAGCTCAGGAGTTTTAAATACATTTTTGACACAAATTCCTTTGTGAAAAAAACAGCTTTTTTTCCCCTTTTCTTTTTCCTTCTTTTTTTTCCTCCTTTTTTTTTTTTTTTTTTAGTTAATAAAGCAGCAAGCCGCCACCTATGTTTTCATGCTCACACACAAAATTCAGAGGACCAGTCCTACATTCTTTTGCCAGAAGCTGTTCCCTGCATTAGTAGGGAATATGCATAATTACACTGTAATTTCACGAGTGATATAATAAACTGAAAGTTTTCCCCAAATCTGCTGAAATGACAGAAAGGCATTCTGGCGAAGTAAACAAACTGCATAGGAAAAATGCTTTACAGTTCTCACTGCACTTGTCTCAAAAAACAATTTCCCCTCCAATTGCTGCCAATTCTAACAAATTACATGGTGATCTTGCAATGCAAGGATCCAGGAGAGGGACAACACAAAGCCTAATTCTTCAGTGGAAGAAATATCTTTCTGAGCTTCTGATATTGATGCTCAATGACTTCCAGACTGGCTTTCCCCACTCTAACAGCAATTCTGCAAACAATCTCGTTGTCCTCAGAAACTGAAGTAATAAGCAGCTAGCTACTTATTAACCCAATTTCCTCCTTTTTCTCCTTGCTAAAATTGATACGGTTTATTATTTGACTACGAACAACGAAGCTCCCAGAAAAGGAAACCTCACCACACTTCAAATTGTTACTATTATATTTTAATTACAATCCTGTTATGTCAAGCAATTATACTGGTTACATTATAAAATATTACATAATCATTCCATTATTTTTTTCAATAACTAAAATGTCTGCTTTTTTAAAACATTTCTAACATCATCTTCTTTCCAATCATATTAAAAATACACTAAATTAAAAAAAAAAAAGAGATGCTGGCTTAATTTATACATTCATTATTTTTGCCCCTTCCCTTTTGCACATGAAATTATCATCAAACCAGGAACTGGAGATTTAGTATTTTAAACTTCAATTAGAGAACAGCTATTACTGTAAGTAAGCTAGAGAAAAAAGCACATTCATCGAAAATGAAATGGATGCTTTGTAGACAACAGAAGTATTTATTAAAGTAGTTTATTTTTTGGCCTCACAGAAAAGCTGGAAGCCAGGAAGGAGTTTTGCTTTGTTTTTTTAAATAATTACTAAAGGGTTATTCACATCATGTAATTTGAAGGATTTTTATTACACTGCACGGTATTAGCACAAAGCAGACTGCAACCATCAGACCAAGGTATTTTCTCTTCTACACACACACTAAAACAAGAGGAAAACGTGGACATTAAGTTTGCAAAACAGCTGCAAATGGAAACCTGCATCTTGGATCCTACTCTGGTCCTGCTCTTGGATCCAAAAACCTGGAAAACTCTGTGCCAACTCATAGTATCAGAACTTGCTGCTCTCTCCTGCTACAAGCTGTGTGCTGCCGGCACTCGCCGTGGCGTGCAGGAGATCCTCGCGGGGAGCAGCCCCACAGAAACTGGTCCATGGTGGCAGCAGGAGGTGGCACGTCCCTGCACCGCACAGGTTCCCGCGCCCCAGCAGGATGATCTGCAGCCTGTGCTGCTTACTGGAGCTTCTTCAGATGGAAAAGGCGGGAATACTGGAGCAACTATGAGAAGGGTAGTGGCCAAGATCCAAGTTTAGGGAATGCAGGAAGCACCTTTGCAAGAGTTGTGCAATAGCTTGCAAAGCTATTTTTCAAAACTTTTTTTTTTTTTTGCGAAACTATTCCATAAACTGACGCAACACTGAAAGAAACAGGATTTTAAGCCAGAAACCTGAATTTTGGCACAGAGGGAACAGATAATCTGCCCTCTTTCTTTGCAGGTCAGCAGATGGGAGGGAAAATTTTGAAGCCCTTCCCCCCTCCACCTCCTCATCACAGTGATAAGCATCTACCACCTAGAGAGCTGTAACTAACTATTAAGGTCTGATTAAGAGGCTTTATAAAACATAATAAGCCATGAGATAGTATAAGCACATATGAAATATCTTATGAGCAACTAGCAATAATGTCTGAGGTGTTCATAACTGTGTGATTTCAACACCTTCCAGTAAAACCAATATTATGCATGTCTCAAGCAATAAATACTCCTTCCCAGAAACCCCTTTTCCTCCTCCGGATACAAAAGACTTGGGCATGATTCATCTTTGCATGTCATTTTAAAATTGCTGAAACACCTTAGGACATGCAAGAAGGATGATAAATGTTTAACTCCACCATCACTGCCTTTACACAGAAATCTTGTACCTGCGTTGGCATTTTGAAAGAGTTTGGATCTGGGTCAACCCACCAAAGATGACAAATAAAATTCCTTGTGAACTTCAATTGGGAAACTTTGCTCCAGTTGAAACCGCGATATCAGAAAGTCCAGGTACATTATTACCCGAACACGATTATACTTCAAAACTCTACAGAATGAAGCAAACGTATACAAAGAGACAAGAGTGGAACTTGGGAGAACAACGCGAGAACAAAAGCAAAGTAAGAAAACTTACAGGGACTGTAAACCGCTTAATCCTCTGATGGCCTCATTAGGTACAGTCTTCAGCTGATTGTTCTGTAGGGTTCTGTAAAAATCCAGTGTTAGTGAAGTAGAATTTGACAATAATCTTTATGAACAGTAATGGTGACAGAAGAGTCTGTGGTCCTGTCAGGGCTTCACAGATTTCTAGTGTACATAAAAGCATGTAGGATTATCAAGACCAGATACCCAAAGGCAACAATGAAACAAGAAAATGGTCAATTTCAGTTTTATTTACAACTCATTAACTAACTGCATTAATTGCAGAGAACAAACCTCTGACATAATACACTGAAATTCCCCTGGGAACTCACTGAAGAGGCTGAACAACTTCACACTAGTACAAATTTGCTACAATGAGTGATATTTTATTATTTTCTTGTGAAATCATCCTATACATGCTACAAAATACACAAACCTCTAATTTTTCTTAAAGCCGCATCAATACACAACACACTAACAATCTAATTTACAAAGTGTGTTCATAACAAAGCGCCTCTGGGCACAACATTAAAAAGAAGCAGAACGGAACTAGAGCCAAGCTGAATTAAGTTATACTGGGTTTTTTCAAGAACTTCTCTTATGGGACAATGTGCTATTGTACGATGAGTTCTTTTATAAAGAGAATGTAAATAACTGAGATTTCACACGTTATAAAATATTATTAGACTTTGGTGCATACTCAGGTAAAATGCAACTGGACAGTAAGTTAATTGTTAATTAATATCCAAGTCCCAAATTTTTCAAGAACCGCTAAAATTTCAGTCACCTCCAGTGTTGAGCATCCCGATAGAGATACCTTCAAGAGCCTTGACACTGAAACATCATTAAGTACTATCACAGATGGGCAGTTTTCTTATCTGTACCCTGCTTATGCTGTTTCTTTATGCTTCTTTCTTTACAACCTCAGGGTTCTTTTCCACTAGGTTTTCGGGTTTTTTTTTAAATATCTGTTTAATTAACTATTTCCTTACTAGCAACTAGAAGTATTTACATCAGCATAAATGCTACAATTTCTGGATGGTGGTTTTTAAAACCCCCAGCAACAGAAAGCTCTTTTTATCCTTGGCTATGGTAAAACAGTTGAAAGGAATACTCCTATCTCAGAAAGGAAAACAGGATATGGGAAACATGACATAAAAACCTAACTTTTTTATTCACACTTTTTGTTCTAATAGTAAGTCATTTTCATCTAAAAAAGCACCAAACTATGGAAATTATTTCTATTACTGGTAGAGGACAATTCCAAGGTCAATGTGTTTCACACTTCTGTAAGTACTACTATTACCTTATAATGTCAGGCACCCGATGGAGCAAGCTTAGGGGGTGGAGAACAACAACAAGCTTTACATGTCCTTTTTAGAATTTTTCCTTCTTAGGATTCTTCTGCTACAAGATACACTTAAGAAGTAAGTGTTCTAATTAAATTAAGTAATTACAGTTCAGTCAAATTCACCACTGCTCATCATCACCACTTACACCAGGCTTTATTAAAAAAAAAAAAAGTAGAAGAGCTGTAATTGGGGGGGTGGGGCAGCAGAGAAAGGGAAAAAAATTCATCCAGACTACTGGTAAACAGGCTGGCTGCGCACTAAGAAAGCATACAGCTAGCTATGAAGCTGTAAAAACGCGATTACTTACAGAACTTTGAGTTCTTTCAACCCAGACAAGGCCTTTGGATGGATAAAGGAAAGGTCATTGCCAGCCAGTCGCCTGGAAAAAAAAATGGCAATAATAATTTCAGTCACAAAATACAGTACTTCTACAATCATCTAACAAGGAAAATCACCGCCACATCAAATCCTGCAAGCAATTACGCATTTTGCATCCAATCATGCCATGCTCATGATCTTCCAAGTTTGCATCAGTGACTTCAGTCATTGCACATTTTTAATGACGAGAACACAGCACTCAGCCTCACGGATATACTTTTCCAAACAAGTCAGAAAAAACACACCCCAGAGTGATAAAGAATCTTCTTACGGTACAAGTTTTGAAAAGTGCATTTATCAACTATTAACACGATCCTCCAGCTTTCAGCATTGCTCTGCTCAAACATGTGCTCTGGTACCCATGTGTTTTTAATCGATGCAGTGGTTTCTAAAGAAACTGTGCAGTTCCATAAAAATAGCTAGATGCTAGCACGAGGCAGGGAAGGGTTTCTAGGAGAATCCCAAATGTGAAGACAATATTCGCAACCAGGCGGTACAACTGACACGATTCCGGCTGACATTACCAAGATGCAACCTTAGTAATCTTTCATCTTTTTGGTCAGCTATTTGGACAAACTTTTTGGGAAAGAAAACTGTTTTGGGGGAAGGAGAAAGGGAACAGGATCCTCAGCCCTACTCACTCTCAAGATGTGGCCAGTTTCAAATCTGGACTGCTGGATACTAATATAAATGGTGAAAACCACCATGATATGAAAAGTAATAAATACAGTAGATGATGCAGAAGACAAAGCAGGAAAGCAGAACAGCAGCCAAAACAGCTGCTTGTGAATAGCTCCTTCCCCCTTCCCCTCTCCTCTTTTAATTCAACCTTTTTACCTCTATCCCGACCAGCAGACCCTGTGTGGTCTGAGCTTTGTTGAGCTGCTAGTAGTTGTGACACGAGGTATTTTATTAAGGGTAAAAGACAATAATGCAGAACACCTGGTAATCCATGGCTGCCAGAAGATACCATCATTTCAGCCAAATTATTTGCCTTCAGACCTGGTCTCATATCCAAGCTAAGCAAAAGCAATGTTGGGGACGGTTGTGCAATGAAATCATCAGGTAGAAACACTACACACAATGCAGTAAGTGTTAATAATTAAAAAACAGTTACATGTTTTAACAAAGGTTACAGAATATCGAAACCCACCTCTGCTGTTACAGGGCACTGTGAAGCAAGCCAGTCACACTAAGGGGAAATATTCTTTCAAAGAGGCAAACGAAGGAAATAACAAGAGCAACACTAAAGTATCAGCTTGCCAGAACAGAGCAGCGTTATTATTTTTTTTATTTTAGTCTCTATTTCTAACTACATAAAAGGGATTACACAAAGCATTTGATGCCAACAGAAATCTGCTTGCAACAGAATTAATGACTTAACAAAATGCTGCCTGATAGAGAGCATGCTAGTTATGTTTATCAAATCCATTTGTCAAAGGCAGATGGTTTTATCTGTAAACCAAAGGAGATGATGGCTGCTTCTCACGAACACAAAGGTGACAGCAGCAGTAGATACTACTGGATTTTAGAAAACTGTGTTATTACCATGTGTTAGAGTAACCTTGGTATTTAGTCCTTGTATTCTCATGCACTGCCCAGTCACCATCGCTATGGCTCTGATATCATTACAAGCATGCTTAAATCTCAGCTCCTTCTGTCTTTAAAAAAAAACAACCAACCAACCAAAAAAAAAAAAAACCCAAAAAAAAAAAAGCCACATCTCCTGATTGCTGAGAAAAGTTTGTCTACGTGTCTCGTGTATAACCAAACAGCTCTGGAACCAGACAAAAAAAAAGAGAATGCATGTACACTTAATTCTTGAAATCTCCTGTTTGCAAACAACCTCAGGATTTTGGAGCTGTGACATAATTTTTCAAATACTTTGAATTTTTAACATGAATGAAAAATTCCAGATGGCAACTAAACACTTCCCCTAAAATCCATTTTGTTGTCAGTAGCTGCCCAAAACAACTGTATTAACTTTATCTGGGGGGTCATGGAGGAAGGTTTGCAATATTTCATGGCTTTCTTTTTAACAATTTCCTAAGAAGTTCCCTGTAAAGAGAAAGAAATATTGATGAAACATGCTGGGTCTCTACATCAGAGAGACAGTGATCTGCAAAACACATGTTTATTTTTAAAAGTGTTCAAAACATCAGAAAAGAAATCCTTCAATCAAGCAAAATTTAACTGAGGTTACAGCACCAAATTATTTTGGCACTCAAACACTACCAGCCGATGTTGATTCCCTACCACATGCATCAAAAAGTGGCAGCCCTGGTACACGTTTTGCAGCTCTGCGCAAGTCCCCTGGTGTGTGGCTCATCAGGCATCTGCTGTAACTTCTCCCTCCCCACAAGAGGCTGCGGATTATGATTTGTTTTAAACAAGCTAAACTAAATCCAATTGAATAGCCTCCCCCAACCTCACCGAGTGTCACTAACACAGTCTACAGAGCACTGGAAACAAAATACCGCTCGCTGAGCCAGAGCAAGGTTTGAGTGACTTCAAATAGCAAGACTTCGCCTACCTCAAGGCAACTCCTGTTCAGCCTTTTTGCAACCAACCAACAGAAAAAAAAAATTAAAAAAAAAGAAAAAAAACCCTTGCAATCCATTACATTTCCGTTTCTCCTCCATCTGGCACCCTTCCAGGAAACAGGATACAACTAGCCAAGTGTGCAAAGGCTTTACTAATCAGTTTGCCAAAGAGACATTTATCATTCACGTCCTAGCCTTGGGGAGCGTGCCTGCTCGGGAGGAGGTTTCAACTGCAGCTCTCCAGCAGGCAAAGACCGACGTATCACACGCTGCTCCCAACACGCTTCCCTCTGCTGCAGCACGCAGCAGCTGAGAGGATGGAAAGCTTTCTCTTTACATAACCAAGTTCATTTTAAAGAGAGAAGTGAAAAATTAATAGCATATAACACAGCGCACGTCCAGCATATAAATTAAGACGTCACTGAAATCAGCTAGTCGGGTTTCCCACGTACTATCTCCTTCCAGCATGCCTCAGAAATAGTCACATTCAGATTTTCCAAATATGTCTAAAACAAGTATTTAAAAAGCACCTCTACTTCTCTCTCTCTCACACACACTGTGTAAACGGGCTAAGGAAAATCACAGCTTTACCAAGCCCCAAACTCCAGCACAACAGAAAGGAAGGAAAAGCTTCACCTCCTTGCAGCGAGACTCACTGACCTGCTTGGGACCAGCCCATGGTGGGACAACTCCACACTGCTACGAAGCCACCTAAAGGCAGCCTTTAGTGCATTGACACTACTGAGAGCCGAGAACCCATCCTTCCCTTCCTCTTGAGGGGAAACAGCCTCAGAGACCTCGTCCCAAAGTCCACCTATCGTTGCTGAGTCAAGGTGCATCACCGCTAGTTAGAGCTCTTTCTCCAAAAGGCAGAGGACTATAAAAGAGATTCATCCACAAAGGCAGTAAAGATTTAATTTAACAGACAATTGTGAAGTGCCTTGCTATGTTATGGGACACAAAAAAACTTAATTTGCTGTCTCTTACTTCTCAAGGCATACAGATACACAGATACAGGCTTCTGCAGTGGAATCACTGTTGCAATGCATGACCACATCAGCATCTTTCTTCTAGGTTGGCAGTCTCCTTGTCATTGCTTAGTATTAAAATTGTGGTCCTCTATTTTTACTTTAGAAGAAAAAAAAAGTGTGTTTCAATGGGAGAAAATTTCTGCAAATTTGGACAAATTCAAATAGACAAAATCGATTTCAGCATAGCAGGATAACAGAGTAGGATGTACAGAGGACAGAATACTGCTATCCAGTCATACATGGTAGGTGAGCAATACCCTCTAATCATTACTTTAAGTGACACAGTAAATGATCTCCAGATGTAGAGGACACCTTGTTGTTATTGCAGAAATCAAGATACAACCTGGCTGAGGAACCATCTCCTGTGGTATCTCATTCCCAAGCACACAGTGAGCATAGCTCCCTGCACTGAAACACTGCTGAAACCAGCAAAGACTGTTTTCCTCTCTTCGGGGAAATTAAAACTTCTGCAATTATGAGTCTGGCAACACGCTACACGTTAACTGAGCCAAGTTAATCACTTGTGTCACTCCAGAATCAGGGAGGATGTCCCAGGGATACATTTTTGTCCGCAACAATTAAAAACATCACTCTCATTTTGACAGGATGCAATACAAACTTCTTGGAAACTGCTGTGCTTGTCCTGCATCCCAGATGGTGGTGAACCTCAGGTTACTTGCGCAAAGAATTAAGTCTCCTCCTGTCCTTCTGAAGATCTCATGCACATAAGCAAAGTGGTTTTGCTGTGGTTTTCTTTCTTCCTGGTGGCATCCTGGGATCCTCCTAACCCCATCTGTCCATCTTGTCTCTGTTAACAACACACTGGCTACTTTTTCCACCTATCGACCGTAATCTTACTTCCTTACTGAAAATTCAAATACAGCCTGCAATCCTGACATGTCATAATGAATTGCCGGATTTATTATTTTCATTTCTACATTAGCTGCTTTCTGGTAAGACCCAAGGCTCCTAATTCAAAATCTAGCCAACACTGAAGCTCCCACACCCCTTTCAGACCATCCATCACTGCCCCTCTGCCCACTCAACATCTCCTTTTAGCTCCCCAACTTTTATCTACTTATTTTCATCCCATTGGAAAATATTCCATTGCTTCCCCAGTTCCACTTTTGCAATTTCTTTATTTTTTTGCTGTCTTACATCAAACTATTCTGGCATCCTTACATGCCTCTCCTTAACATCAACTTTTTCAGGGTTCTTTGTGCTTCCCACACAAACTCAGATTTTACTTCATGTTCTCCCACAACAGAAGTAAGCCTTGAAAACAACCCGGGTACATTTGCTGGGTATCATGGATGAAATACTTTCAAACCTAAGAGCTTCAGGTTCAGAAAAGCAGATGCTTTGAAACGTTAATTCATTTTTCTTAACATATAATGCACAGTTATGTGCTACAATTTACTCATCAAGGTTTGAAGCTTTACACAAGAGGAATGGCCATTTGCAGGAAAACACCAGGGGCTTGCCGCATCCATCCCCTGCCTGGCGAGGGCACACGTCCCTGCAGACGGCTCCTACCCAAGCTGGACAGCTGCAGGAGGGGACGGGCTGGTAAATGGAGATTTGGGCTGGAGATTTGGGCGGGGAAAAAATTA